TATCTGAAGAGGCGTTATCTTGGCGCTTTATATCAAATTTATTATGGTACATGCATTTATACTTCTGTATATTTAAATGACATGGTTTTTATCCCTGCATTGTCGAATACGCCATGTTAACAAAAATTAGACAGATCCGAGATTCTTCTATTGAACGAACTGGAATAGATGACTTAAGAAGTTTATTTGCAATATTGAGAACTTAATTTGTATTTTCAATTTCAAATATAATATGTTATCCTTAAATGAATTCAAAGGAATGATTTTTCCCATTTTTTTCGCAGCAATACTACAATCAATTTGGTCTTTGGTGAAAAAGGAGCTAAGCGTGGATAGGATAATAATAATAGCTTATTGGGAGACTGGAATTTTAATAACTTGTACCCAAATGCAAAAGAGCATACGTTCATTTACTTCACATAAGAAAGCGTGGAATATATAATCTTGCTGAGTTTAATGTGATGAGTTGTTCTCTTATAAATTTCATAGAGAAAGGCTAGCTCTAAAGGAAGTCAAAGCCGTAGATGTAATCTCTATTTCGGCTTATGTGTGCAAAGACTTCAGCATTCATTTTTAGTTATAATACAATTTGCGTATTTACTTTCTTTAAATATATATTCCCTTCCTGTTAGTACTGGCAGCCCTAAATAGGCGTGTTTGGATCTATTTGCTTGTATTTTCAAATTTCAAATATACATACGTGTACATACTATGCATATCTTTTAAGAAATGTTCAATTGAATTGTCTCTATATTTTATTTTAATCTTCAAATATAAGCCTAATAAATTAGATACACAAGTCAAGCTCTTGTCCCACTGTGCCCGCAGCTCGAGTCCGTCTATGGGTGGCACTCACCGCACACTGGCGCAGCCCATGCATTGCAGCTAAATTGTTGACAGCGCCACCTATTGCCAATTTTGATGGTGACTCTGAACTTAGCAGATGTATCGAATGCTTTGCATTAGCACTTCGTAAAAATTGTGGAGAAATGAGCTCCCTGAATTGTGTGTTGGGGCAGGCCGCTGTTGATAGCCACTTAGCCGTGACTTGGCGGCCACATAAATTCGAAAAGCGTCAAAATGTAGCAACAGCTAACAAGCCACAAAGGCAAAAGCTTTGGCCGCTGATGTGGCAGCTAACTAGTGGTACTGCGGGCGCAGGCGGGTTCGGAGAGCTGCCAAAACTTTCAATGCATTGCGATGACTGCAATCGACAATTGTGGCCGATTGCCAGTTGCTGGTTGGCAGTTGCTAGAGCGCTCAGGCAGGCGTAACAAGTACAACACCAAAGCCAATGCCGCTGCCTCTGCCTCTGCCGCCGCCGCTCTTGCTGACCCATTTATGCAGATTTTTTGTGCTTTGTTTGAATCGGTTTTTTGTTATTGGTTTGTGGTAGCATGTTTAACAATGGGCCGCAATGTTACCACAGCATGTGTTGCGGCAAGTACAGGGCATGTTTTTGATGTTGTTGGAGAATTTTGGGTTGCTTGTCCGCCTGCCTGCCTCCCGGCCTGTTCCACTTCCCCAAGCCGCTCATTTGTCATGTTGATTTATTTGTTGTCATTGGCGTTTAATGTCGAATCCTTTTTTGACCACGCAGTCTTGACCAAAACCCGAAGGTGGCAACAATAATTTCGATTTCAACTTTGAAGCGCGCTTGCATAAGAAGTTTCCTCTGCGTAGTCGACTGTTTTTGTTGTCTTTACTTTTACAAATTCTTTAACGCCAACAACTGCTACACAAAACGCTCCATCTTTCGAAATATTTGAAGTAGTATTTGTTTAAGTTTTAACATAGAAAACTACGTCTGTACTCTTAAACTTCGAAGGGAGTCAAATGGAGGGAAAGTTAAAAATGTTGTTGTATACAACAACACCTTCCTCGTTTTTGAGAATTACTAATTCTTCATAAACCAGAAACCAATTTGATCGTGAAGCACCTGAATGGAGCTGCCTTTTAGAGAGAGCGCAAAAAAAAATTTTCCCTGATCAGTTTTTAGAACACAAGTGTAATCAAAAATTTTTATGATACTTAAAACTTCTATGTTCTAAAAGCTATTTACGAGTATAGTATAAATTAATACTATTTTCAAAAAGTACTTCGATTTATTTTTAAAAGAAAATAAAAAAGATTGATTTGGTTCCGTTTAATGGTTAAGTCGTAAAAAAACAACGTTTCTTTAAATTGATTTAAGTTACTTATTAACGTATTTATTTTTAATAATACACACACACATACATAACAAAAATTTTACTTCCTAAATACTTCTCTAAAATCAAAATATAAAATACTAAAAAATATTGAAAATAATAATACTACGTCATCTCTTTTTACTGGCTATCACTACGAGATACTGGAGGCCACGAATTCCTCTTACTATACCAATCTGTCTTACCTACTTCTTTTGACATTTTTTTGAAGGATACAACTACTCGTAATTATCTGATATGAATTTCAAAACCGGGAACAAATCCCTAGCAATTATGTAACCATGTTAGAACCTGGTTCATGGCAATATAGAGTTTATGAGATGGCCACTGCAAACACTTGTTTGGTGTCTGGCATTTTAATTGAAGAAGTTTCTTTCATGTACCTGGCAGCTTATCTTTGCGGGCAAATAGCACTTAAAATTTGTTTGTTTGTTTGTTTGCTAAGAAAAGTAACAAGTGGCTGCCAAGCGGAAGTCATACTAAAAAGGACGAATTGTGCCTGCATAGCATTCCTACCTGCTTGGCATTAATTGAGCTAAAGTCATAAATATTGTGGCTTAGGTATTTGTCACAGAATTTGTTGAGTCAGTTCAAGTGCGTGCTCCCAACATATATCGCCTAGTTAGTTCATTAATCACGCATTTGTTGGCGAGTTTCGCATAAAAGCGCTCATCAATAAAGAGTCTGGCAATAGAAATGCATTTGCCGCCAGCCGCAGTTGGCACTTGGCAGGTGGCAGATGGAGTTTCTAGAGGTGGGGCCGGTGCTGGAACAGGATGTGCATATGCGTGGGGTGGCGCTTAGATTAATGAGCCCAACCCGATTAGAATCAATTTGAATTAATGGACATTTTAAGCGCATTTGATTTTGTTTGGCCAAAACAAACACAGCGGGCAGACAGAGTCTGGGCCAGGCAGTGTGGTAGGCTGGCAGTAAACAAAAGACTTAGGCAACGAACTTGAGTGAGATTTTGCGCTTATTAATTTCACATGCCTGTGTCATAATGAAAAGCGATTTTATATGCCAGCATTGCCGTCGTTTATAATCAAGTTAAATGTGCGCGCACTCGCTCTGCGGCCATAAAAACTTGACTTATCAGCCGGCAATTGGCGCAAATGCATTTGGGGGGGTCGCGGGTGGGAGTAGCGGGCAGCTGCCAAACGTTTTGGAGACAGTGAGACCATTAACAGAACGATGTCGCCGACGACACCGTCGATTGCAGGCTGTGAGTGCGCGAGCATTGCCTTTTTTATGGCACTTTTCACTGGCCGCTTGGAAAACCCCATGCGCAAATGGCCATACAACTTTATTGGCCCCCAACTGCGGAGCTCAAATATATAACTGTGTTTATGCGCCGCACTGCGTTTATTTGCATTATTTATGCAAAAGAGAAAAGTGCGTTTAGCAAGCAATGAAAATTGTTTGCGCTGTGCAGATTTTACGACATGAAAACGAAGCTGCTGGTGTGGCATGGGAAGTAAACAGAGGGTTGGATGAACGACTGCCGCCTCACAATAATGCATTCCCACCAGAGCTCCGTAGTACAAGAGGAAGTTGCGTAATGGCTACCTATTAAAAACTATATGTCCTCTTGTTATGTAAACGTTATCTTCATATACTTCTTAGTTAAGGTAATTTTAATGATCATTAAAATTATAAATTTACCAAAAATGTTTTCTTAAACCAAATTTTTCATTAAAAATTGTTTTAAAAAAAATAGCTGTTGTCTTAAAACCACTTACTTCTAGCATTCCATTCTTCTTTTCTGACAATCTGAAGACGGTTGTTTTGGGTCGTCGATCCTGGAATAATAATGGAATAGTAAGAGATTCTCGAGGAGTGGGTCCACACACACCTGGTAATCTGTAAAAGGCTTGGGTCTTATTCAATTAGTTCCTCAAGGCTTTATAAAAGCTAAGATAGGGAATTTGTTAAACACATTCTTTTATGCTGAATTTACCTAAGATACAATCAATACCTTGTGGATTTTGAAGTGGTTTTAGAGGTAGCAGTGTAGAAAGAGTATATAAAGGTGTTTGAAAAAAGGGCGGCCAGCACACGTTGCGTGCTGCTTTGGCATTGAAAACTATTCAAAATATGCACGAATATATCTGCGCAGCATCTTTGATGCCAGCGTCTTGTTTGGTTTTCATTGGAAACAAACAAAAACGCAGACAGACGCTATCGATCAAAATGCAGTGCGTAGCGACTGCGAGCTTAGATTTCAAAACAATGGATCGCATTGCTGCCGACAGTGGTTTCGATTTCAAAGCCGGGCCTCGAGAAGGAACGCGCACACGTCTGTGTGTGTGACGTTGATGCGCACTTTTGATAAGGATGCGGTCGCGCAACACACCCTGAAATTGTTATGAAACCGGCGAAGGGAACGAAACAGAAATACACAAAAAAAAACACAAACAAACAAAAAAAGATGAGCAGAAAGCAAACCAACTTCTTAGTGCCTTCACACAAAATACTGAATGGAAAGATCAGAGTGTGAAGCATGTGGATAAAAGAATCAAAAGAGAGAAAGAGAGATGGACAGGGCATTGACATGGCATATCTTTAGCTAATCCTGATAAATTGTTCTATATGTACAAGCTTATTAATGAGTTTTGACAACGATTGCCTTGCGGGCCAAAAATTGCTTACAAGAAATAAATCTAAAGTATATGCAAATCCATAGATTTTATACAAATCCCGCCAACTAAAGAAATACCATTATCAGAGTTCTTAATAATTAGGAGATATTTGTTTTGAAAAGTCCGTTCAGAAATTTGAGTCTATCCATTGTACTTAAAACGAAAAAATTTTATTGGTTTACATCGTATGATTTAGGATTGCAAATAATTACTGATACATGAATTCTAATTCGGACTTCAGCTTTTTATGGCTGGTGCGCTTTTTTCTGGACGGATATGAGAGAATCGTCTCCCTGATTGTGTCTTCTAAACTTGGCCTAGATGTAGCCTTAGGCTTTGGTTGGATAATGTGATTACCACTGCGTTTAGGAGTTGGTGGGTTGCTCTTCAAACTGCTCTTTGGCCTTCGCTTCGTTCGTCGCTTTTTGCGACCCACTGCATCTTCCCTATTGAATCTTTGTTGTACTGGTTGCCTGGTCGGTGATATCATCGGCTTTTCAGGGCTCAAGTTAGTGGACCCATCCTTGCTGCGTTGTCTTATCAAAATGGAACTGCCACTTCTCTTAGATCGTGATTTGTTTGCCGGGGTTCTACTGACTATGGCCTTAAATATGTTGGAGCTTGCGCTGTCACTGCTGCTCCTTTTCTGTAGTTTTGAGCCCTTCTTTGTATCGCTGTCTGCGATTAACTTTAAATCGGAGTTAGATGGATGCTTGCGCTTCTGGGCACGTCGAGACAGGATGGGCATGGGGCTTGGTGTTCGTTTCAGGGGCTGAAAAGATGACGACCTTTTGGAACTTAGGAAGGGTTCTACCATTTGTTTTGGGATTACTCTCTCACGAGAGCGTGAGTGGCGATAATGGTCACCCCCCACCACCCATTGGCTATGGTCAACGCCATACTCATCGTAGTTTTCATTTATCCACTCTTTTACTGGCGGTGCCATTAGATCTTCTATATGCGCTTGTAGGTCCAAGCTGGTGGACTGGCATACCGGCTCGTCAATTTTTGGGGGAGGAGCAGTTGGGTATTTGTGAACCTGCGTCATCTCTATTTTACGCATATCATTTAGATTGGCCTTGCTCTTGGCCCGAAGCAAAATAGTGCGCGTACGTTCGGAGTTCGCTGCCAGTTCGCGATATCGATTCTTCTTGTGTTCGGGCATGATCGCCCAGAGGCGACTGGCAGACCTGCGCATCATCGAGGACTCGCGCAACGACATTCGCTCCTTACCTTAAATGAATAATTTTGTTTTTACGCCATTCTTCAAACTCACACAAAAGTGTAGGACCTTTTCTTACCCATATCATCTAGGGCCACAAGACGGACCTCGTTGAGAAAGTTCTGGAAGGGCACGGGAGAAGCAATATTGCGAATTGTACGTTCTCGGTCAGAGGCCAGGGTGCTGGGGGAGAACCGGACTCGCCGGTTTAGGGAAAGCGGTGTCAAGGCAAAGGCGCAACATTTGCGCCACGCACTTAATAGCCAACTCATCAAAAATTTTTGTTGTCGCCGATTAGTTAATACACAAAAATTCAAAACTTAATATTTTTCAACTTAATTAAAATGTCTGTGAGTGTGCCTGAAGTGAGTCTCAGATGTGGCTGCGTTCGAAAGCTGTTATACAAGTAAATCCCAATGTGCACACATAGACTGCTAACTAATCTAATTAAGACAATGAAAGTGTTAAGTTGCCTTCCTAGAAATTGGTGCCACACGGTAAACTTACCAACAGTCTCTTGGCTGTAAAATGCTTAGAAAGCCATTAAGTGCGGCCAGATAAGCCATGACATGCAAAGAGACCATCTAACTCCAACTGAAACTGATAAGCGTTGGAAGATTTAAGGCCGCGATAAAGACCGCGATGCAAGATGCAACCGAGATGACTACGTTCTGCCCATTCTGGGGCCCCATAAAATCCAGAACTAAACAATGTGCGCACACTAAATAAGCCATCTGAGAGTTAGGCACGCAGTTTTATCACCGCAGCCACAGCCGCAGTCGCTGCGGCAGAGACAGGGGCAAAGTCAGTGCCGGCAGTTTGTTGTTTGCAGTCGAAAGTGTGTAAATTTACACACAAAAACGCCGCAGGTGGAAATTTTACTTTCGATGATGAAAAGTCAGTCTCGGTTTCGGGTCCCGATCCGTCCCTGGCCCCAACCCAGCCCGCCGCCAGTTTTAATCGCAGGGGCCTATTTGGTTCTAGAGGCCATCGAACCAAATGTTCGCATCGAACATGTTGCTGCCAACATGTGCGTGTGCGCCGCCGCACGAGCACGATCGATCCGTTTCAGTCGGCAAATGGTTGCCAAGCTAAACAGACTCGTTAACGGGTGGAAGTTATGTCGGTCGTCGCTGTGTCGTCGGTCGGTCGTCTAGGTTTTCTCAATGAACGAGCGAGCGTGTAAACAGAATACGAAGCCAGAAAAGCAGAACGAATTTTCAAAACAAAACGAAGAAACGAAAACACATGCGATAAACACACAGACACAAAACGATAGCGATAGCAGTGCTAAAGTTTATTAATAAATAGAAGTGTTTGTTGTGCACCAAAGCCAACTACTACATACATACATAAACAAATAAATTTGTTCGTAGTCGTGCGCGGAAATTGCAATAGCAAACAAAACAAACGCGTCGTTTGTCATCGCCATACTGGGCGAGCTTTTCAAAAATAAATTATTTAAAGAAAAATTTGAAAAAATAAAACAGCCCGCTTGCGAGCTGTAATAGCAACAACAAAAAGAAATAAAGCTAAATAGTGCGTAAAAATCTGTTTGTTTACGATAAAGTGTATGTGTGTGTGCGTGCGTTTAATACATACATATGTACATATCTACATAGCTGGAAGTGCAGAGAGAAGTTGCATGCGTTGTTAGCTTCTATTTTTCTGTGCATTTCTACAACAACAAAGCACATTTTTAATTTGCTGTTACCTGAAAAACAACATGTTCAAGCTGGTTGAAAAATAATAGAAATTCAAATACATATTTGGAAAAACCAATTGAGTTTCAAAATTAGTTGAATAAATTTCAAATATTGGCATCAAGTGATTGTGTTGTGAAAAAAAGAAACAAAGAATAATTACTTCATTGAAAGTTGACATCAATTTACCTGTTCTACGACAGCTGCAAACGCGTTAAAAAGGTAAATACAGAGTTCCACTCTTTACGATTCGCAATTACTGCATAAACAAATTTCTTGGGCCACCAAGTACAATTCTTGTGTATAGAACCATTTTAAGGTCTAGTAGGCTCTTTTTACTTTCACCCGCATGCGGTTCAGCACATGCCGAAACCGGCATGCTATGAGTATATAGCACACATGTGGAGATAGAGACGCTGCCGAGACAGAGACATAGACAGAGACAGACCCAGAAGTCTCTGACAGACGTTGACGTTTCAACGCTATCTCACAATTGTCGTTCCTTTTATTTTGCTTTTATTTTTTTAGTTAGTTGAGCCGTTTTATCTTGTCTCTGGTGCTTCCTCTGCCATGTGTGCGGTCTCGGACCAGGTTGGGAATGATAGTGATAACCTATTTAATATATGTTTACAGTTAGTTAGTTGCACATACACATACGCATAGACAAGCACATTATCTGCCTCATAGCTTTCATTACTCGCACACACACACACACATACATGCACATGCTAAAGACGAGAGACCGACCGACTGGCCGACCCGCCGACTTTATCTCAGTGCCCCAGACCGTTGCTGTATTCTTTCAGCATTTCCGCTTGATCGCCACTCGAGCTATGTATGTATTTGTTTTTCGTTTTGGACAATTTCGATTGTCAGCATTTTTGATTCATAAACTCATAAATCATAATCGTTTTCAACTGCGTATGCGTATAGTTCTCTCCGGGGTCTCTTGTTTATTTCCATTGCACTGGGTGCATACACACAAAAATATATACATACATGCATTCTATATGTCTGTATGTTTGTACTCGTATGTATGTTACAGTAGGAATAGTTTGTTATTCATTATGTTTCTGGCCGACTGGCTGTGGTGGAGAGTGTTTTGTTAATCAAATAAACACTACACTTGATTTCATTATTATTTTATTTCGTTATCGCATTGATTTGCATGCGTCATAGCTAGTAGAGACTAGGAAGTGAGTGGATTAAGTGGATTCAGCTCTTTCTTTGAAAGAACAGTATACATATGTGGGAGCTGGCATCATGGTGCCCGTTATTTGTGTGCCCTTTTTTACAGCATAGCTGCGTCACTTGCACATGCTCGTACATGTATATATGTACACATATGCATACATACATATATATGTATGTATATGCGTATGTGTGCATATTAAACTCGTTTTCATCGCTGTTCTGTTTATATTTTGTTAAGCTCCATAAAGAAACACTTGTGCGAGCACTCTGTTTAATTTAACAGCAAATTCAGGTAAATAAAACTGAAATATGCACTGCTCTACGAGACTTTATTTATTTTTGAATGTTCCCAATGTTCCCAGAGTCAATATCGCTTAGCGAAAGTCCTAAATAACTTTATAAATTTATACATTGTATCTTCCCATTTCGACAGCCTATATTTGTTGACAAAAACAAATAAATGTTTTCAACTTTCCTTATAGTTGCTCACCTCTCGAATTTGTGTTTCTTAACAGTAAACGACAAAAGAAAAGTATTTTTAATGGCAATATTCTTGGTCAGATGTATGTGGATATGAAGCATTTAAAGTATTCCAGAAATACTGCAAGTAAATTTCGTTATTTTCGTAGGTATGCAGTAGTGTTCAGATTTGTCTTATTTATTTTTCCTGCTTATCTAAATTTAAAACGAGCTAAGAACTTACCTAGGTCCCCTCCTTGAGGCGCACTGCAAAAACTGCATTTCTCCATGCTAATGGACCGCGAGTATACGAACGTGTACTATATAATTTTCCATTTGAAATTACTATTTCTTCGTTATGGTCCCTTTTTGCTACACATTAGTATAAATAAATGTAAGTATACTCTTACCCTTTTCTGTAAAGGGTATAAGATTGGACGCTTATTAACCTTTCGCTGCGATTCTTATGCTATCAGTTTATGGTTTGTTTGTAGTTTAGTAAAAATAAAAAAATAGTTCGCACTTTCCCTCCTTTCCAGAACATAGTATAAATCCACACACCCAGCAGTTGAACGGCCCCTAGATGTATATACCAATATATCATTTGCAGATCCATCAATTTCGTGTGTGTTAAGTGTCGTACAAGAATTTACACAAAACACATCCTCCAGCCATCTCCTCCCCCCTCATGGGCACAGTTGACAACATGATTTGTATGCAGAGCGCCCCATGTTGGCGACACTGAGCGCTACCCTGAACTTTAATGAATAACACACTACTACTACATAGTCTTTATTTATGAACATATAGTATGTACATATCTACATACCTACAGACTTTAACATGTGTACAACAATCAACCAAAAACAGCAACTAATTCCAAACAATGTAAAGTATTATTTATTTTTAACTGAGGTCATCAGCGTCGTCGTCGTCGATCTCGACTGTGCTGTCTATTGCGCGTAGCTGGCGGCTCTCTGCTCCCTGCTCTCCGCTCTGGGTCGCATCTCATCGGAGCTGTTGTGGTTGTTGGTGTTGTTCTTATTTCAAGTTAATGTGCTCGTGTTCTTGTTGTTGCTATTGCTATTGCTATTGTTGTTGGGCCTGTGGTTGTTTTTCAGCTGTTGAACTCGAACTCTCACCAAATTATGCCACATAGCGTATGCAGGGCAGGCAGTTGGAAAGGGAGACGTAGACCAAGTGCTAGGGCCAAATGGATGTCGCTGCCGATGTCTGAGTCGAAGTCAAACCCGGAGCCAACAAGCATATTCTGAAATATTTATGCTTGACTTTTGCGCCTCAATGACTTTTGAATTGCCTTGCCTTTGGCTGCTAGTTTTTACACACATATGTGCATGTTTTTGTTTTTTGGTTTTATTTTTTTAGTTCGAAAACACGCGGACATATGTATGTACATATACATATGTGTGTTTTTTCTCATTATTTCATGGTGCTGAACAAAATCCACGCCCTCATGTGTGTTGCAGATTTCTTCGAATGCAATAACAGCTAAGAAATCAATATAAAAATTTCAACAAGGTACTTAACTAATTTTGGCGAAATAAATATTATTTTATAATAGAAGTCTTCTATAATTTAAGGAATATACATAGGTATGAAACACTAAAATGCATTTATCATTTATTTTTCTATACCAATTGAAAAGAAAAGAACTTTAACAACAAATCACATTTGATCAAAATAACTACTGAACAGCAGTTGCAAATACTGACTAGCCACAAAACGATATTTTTTCATTTATACTTCCCTAACCTTACCTGAAACTCAAATCGGGAACTGTAACTAGAAACCAATGTTTGGAACCTAAAACAATCATTCAGATTCGATTTTTTAGCCAGTACACCCATAGATACCTATATGTGTACTTTCTAGTGCTGTTGTAATGGGGGATGGGGCACAATGAGGCCGCACTCTAAAGACACATTAACCTGCATTTAATTTGTCAATATTAGCTTACTTTTCCAAGTGACAATACCTAGTGATTTGGTCTGTAGAATATACATAATACACAGCAATGGCTTTTTGTTGTTGGTTCTCAGGCCAGCTACACTTTTCTTTTCTATGAAAAGTGAGGCAACATGGCACGACAAGCAGGGCACAGCATGTCTTGTATATAGTTATGTACATATGCATGTATATTGTTGGTGTTGTTGTTTAGGCCGCGCATGTTGACCTTTTCACAGCTGGAACCATCTTTCACATTCAGTTCTGGCTGACTGGCTGGCTGGCTGGCTGGTCCATGGACCGCCGGACTCTATGTCTATGGTCCCTGTGGTCTCATACATTAAACGGTCATTCCTGCTCGTGCTTGTCAATTTCTGTCAGTTGCTTGTCAAAAAATTTGTTGGCTTTGGTTGTAAAAATGCAGTGAAAATGTTAAAAACAAAAAATACAAACACGATTTTCATGTAAAGCGCAAACGCCACAAATGATTGACGAGCTGACTGACAGACTAGCTGACTGTTTGACTGACTGACTGAATGTTTGACTGCCCGACTGCTTGACTGACTGTCGACTCGCTCTTTGATTTACTCTAGGAAATCGCAAGATTCCCGGGCTGCATAATTAACCTTTTGTCATGCTATGAATATTTGCAATAGCTGACTCGCTGCTCAACGCTCAACGCTCGTGTTTGTTTTTATTCGAGACGTAGTTCGCTTATAAAAAAATCAATGGGGAAAATGCAAACACATCAGAACAACAACAACAAATCCACTTTTTCTGACTAATGGCTTTGAATAAGGGCGGCATTATTGAATATAGAAATGAGTCCCCCAACACGTACTCGTACAAGCTTACGCGTCAGCTTAGAAAAATGCGTAAGACTCAGCATTCCTTTTTGGCAATTCCCATTTTGCGGCTTATTAGTTAATGCTTTTTGTCAAATACCTGTCAATAACTGACACGTTCAACCGTGGGTGTGGCTGTGGGCATGGTTGTTATTGTTGTTGTTGTGTAAGTTACCCGACACCTATCGTTATTCAGCGTGACAGTCGTAGTGTATTGCCAATTAACCTTAGAAAAAAAACCACAACATATAACAATTTTCGTTCACTCAACAAAACAAACAAATGTTGTCTAAATTAACTTAATATATATAATTTACTATACTATGTATAATTACGTACTACTATTATAAATAAATGCAAAACAATCGGCTAGGGTTCGTGGTCGAGAAAATGTGACAGACTATTCTATCGAGTTTTTGTAACTTTTTGTTGATTTGTTGTAATTTAAAATATGTATACGAATATAATAAATGATATATCTTAGGTATTTAAATACCTAAAAATTTAAAATGAATTCTATTAAAATATTGAACATAAGTATAGATTTCTTAAAAATATGAATGAGCATATCTATATGTATAGTAGTTTATGTATATTTATCGTATGTTTATCGTCAACTGTGTAGATGGCATACAAATATTTGATATATTTTTATAGCCTTTACCCAAAGGGTGAAAGGCTATACTAGTTTCGTGCGCATGTATGTAACACACAGAAGGAGGCGTGGCAGACCCCACAAAGTATATATATTCTTGATCA